CCAGGGTGGAAACATTAGTTTAATTGTTTTAGTGACCAGAAAACAAATTTTGATATGCGTCGGCTTACCCAAAATGAAAGGACAGACTACGCACAGGTCGACAACTCAAGCCCAGGATCGATTTATCCGTACCTTGGCCTTGAGAAATCGTGTCATCACAGCAAATCAGATCAGCGCTCGTCTTCAAACAGACACTGGTGTGAGAGTGAGTGGCCCGACGATTCGGAATCGACTGCATAGGGGTCACCTTCGCGCCCTCGCGTGATCCCTTGTTTGAGAGATCATCACATTCAGGCAAGACGTCGTTGGTGTAGGGATCGTCAACACTGGGATAATCGACGCTGGAGCAATGTGATGTTTTCAGATGAGTCAAGGTTCACTGTTGATTTTTTGGACAGACGTAGGAGGGTGTGGCGTCGTCGAAACGAGCGCTTCCAAGACGTTAACGTCATCAGACATGATCGATTTGGGGGTGGTTCTGTTATGGTGTGGGGAGGCATCACTGTTGCTGGAAGAACGGCTTTACATGTTGTTGCAGGGCGTGTTACAGGCCAGTACTACCGGGACAACATCTTGGCAGTCCATGTTGTGCCGTTCGCACGACGTCATGGCCGCCGTTTCATCTTCCAGGATGACAACGCAAGATGTCACAGGGCCAGGATCGTTACAGGTTACCTCCAACAACAGAACATCACCACATTACCTTGGCCAGCACTGAGTCCCGACCTATCCCCCATCGAGCATGTCTGGGACATGCTTGGACAGAGGTTACGTCAACGTCAACAACGTCCTGCCAATGTCCAAGAACTTGCTGCTGCGTTGCAACAGGAATGGGACAATCTGGACCAAAATGACCTTAGACGTCTCATTAGGAGTATGCCACGTCGGATCAATGCTTGTTTGGCAAACAGAGGAGGATTTACCCGTTACTGACTTGGTTGTGATGCTGTGGTAACTTTGCTGTTTGACCCCGGGTATCATTTTACCCTTATAATGGTCAGTCTGTGCCTTACTTAGTCTAACGATCATTTAGAATAAATCGATGAATGTGAACTTCATTTCATTTTGTCATTTGTTTCTTCGTCAGTTTCATTAGGTGACTTTAATAACACTTAAAAATCAAATATCCCCTACTTTTTTTGAATAGTATATTTTCAGATGAATGTTTATATTCAACTTCACAGGCATCTACAGAAAGCATTTCTTCATGGGCATGTAGATTACCGGATATTGTTTATAAATAAAAGTCATCTAAAATTCTTAATGAACCATCTGCATCAAAATGTCTTAAAGAACCGGTTAAAGAATCAACACGACATATTCTTGATTCTAATGCCGCGTTTTCTAATTTAATGTATGCTGTATGTGGAAGAAGAGAAGTCAGCAACTGATTCTTCACATACAGAATTCTCTATTCCTAAATCGACTTCGTCTAGTTCAAGTAATTGTACTAGATCTATGGGATCTTTAACCTTGAATTCATCAAACGAAAGTACCAGTGATTTTGTAAAACTTCATCAACATATATCTTCATTAATAAAGGAGGTTCGTAGCTTAAATCCAAAGTATCAGAATTAGAATCTAAAATAGATCAGAGACAAGACATATTCACACAGGGCTGAAAATATTCCATCTTCGTCATCTCAGTTTGTTCGTCAACACCCATTTCCTCAGTTTAGTCCTGGTCGTCCACCACCTTCATTTGTAGTTACTCCTCCATCAATAATGCAACATAGACAAGAGTTTCCACCAAGAATTAATCCTAGTCATATATGTTGGGATTGTCAACAACCTGGCCATAGAAGAGGAGACACAACATGTTCTTTAAACTACAACAGGCCTACCTAAAGGGACAGTCAGTGGGTCTTTAAAACATTTCAGTTGCTAACCCTTAGTGTTATCAACAATTGTCCCATTTCTTCAGATTTAGTTGGTCATTCAAACATTATTAATTAACAAAATTAATTGCTCAGCTTTATTGGATATATGTTCTATGATTTCAACTTTAGAAGATAATTTATATCGTCGTCATTTTTCATCATTTGAATTGTTTCCCTTGAATGAGTTATTAGATATTCGTTCGACTGGAGGTCATAAGGTCAACTACCTTGGATATATTGAAATACCTGTACAGATTCCTGATACAGATATCCATATGGATGTTTTATTTATTATTGTACCTTCTAGTACTTCACCGTCACAGATTCGTGTTCCTGTTATTATTGGTACCAATATTTTGAATCGATTTTATAATGTCCATAATTCACATATAGATTCTTCTTGGAGTTCAACTCTTACTTGTTTATCTAATCATCTTAAAAAGAGTAATGAAGTTTATGATTTAAAATGTACATCTTCAACGAAAATACCAGCTCATTCACGTGTTTCGATATCCGGATTATCACGTCTTCCTAAGCCAATTTCGTGCAAAATGACTCAACACCAATTACCATTCCAGCTAAATCCATTATTTGCCAGCTTCACCAAGTTGATATTGTACATTCTAATTCGTCAACTGATAGTATTAATGATTTATTAGGAAGTATTCATACAGATGATTTAAAGAATATATTTCTGAAGTTGACAGTTCAACGATTTAATTCTTAAATACAGGGATATTTTCAGTTCATCTGACACATATATTAATAGAACAGATTTAGTTAAAAATAGAAGAATTCCTCCTTTAATGTACCAGGAAGTTAAAGATCATATACAAGAAATGTTTGATTCAAATATTATTCGTTCTTCTTCGAGTCCGTATGCTTCACCTATTGTTCTTGTTCGGAAAAAAGATGGTGGTCTTCGTTTCTGCGTCGATTATCGTAAGCTAAATTCACTTCCAATTAAAGATGTTTATGCTCTACTTTGTATTGAAGAAACTCTCGATTCATTAAACGGTTCAAAATATTTTTCTTCTCTCGACTTACAGTCAGGTTATTGGCAGATTGAAATAGGTGAGGCAGACAAACATAAAACAGCATTTACTAACGCGCCATGTCTTTTCAGAGAATGATGGAACGCTATATGGATGATATGAATCTTTTACAATGTTTGATATATTTAGACGATGTCATTATTTTTTCTAAAACCTTTCATGAAAATATGTCCAGGTAGGAGTCGGTTTTTAAACGTTTTCGTCAACACAATCTTCGGTTAAAACCTTCAAAGTGTAGTTTTCTTCAGACGGCATTCATACAGATCCTGATAAAATTGAGACCTTAAAGTCCTGGTCTTGTAACTTAGCAGACTGCACGTATACGACAGAATTTTTTTTTCAAATTTCTAATAAACTTGTCTTTCAGAAAACGCAACCCCGAGATGGAAAGGGAGGTAGAGGGAGTAGATGAAGAAGAGACGAAAGAGTTGGTTGAAGGGTATGTCATTGTTTCCAATACGATTGAATTGTAAAAATTGCATGTCGTGAAATGGGGCTTCTTGGTGTAGGTTGACATATAGAGGATCCAATACACCCTTGAATATAATTGGTTTGATGAGTTATGCACAGTGAGGGAAAGTAAGTAGTAAACATAAGTCGCTTCACCAAAAAATCATTTAAAGATCAAAATTCTTTAAACCATTATGTTTTTACAGGTCAGGCGTTAAATTGATAGAAGAGGGAAAGTTTGTTGCCACTGGGAAGACCATATCAATTGTGCCCAAGACAGTAGACGGTAAGTGCGGTATTTTTATTGCACCGATACAAGGCAAAGTAGTTAATGAATAGGTGTAAGACCCCAAGCCCAAATGAACATGTAATTGTGAGTATTGTTTTCTCTCCTAATTTCCAGGTTTGGATTGCTACCTTGTGTACCTATCTCGAAAACACCCACGATCCTGGGTTGCAAAGGTTCCAGGGAGACCAAACCAGACATGGGCAGATATTGGGGTAAGTTGTTTTTAACAAACTTCTATTGGTCGTATTATGCTATAGTTTTTACAGACCTTTGCCTGTGTTAATTAACGGTTAGATTCTGCTATTCTCAATCTACAGAACCTGGCTTCTGGTTCAATGTTTTGCATTCTGATACACATTTACATTAATTTCCGTCCAATAGCGAATTTATTGGCCAGTATCCAAGACGTGTTGCGTATCTAAAAAGATAATAAAACAAAGGTATGTATATTTTTTAAATTTACACAGCCGCATTTTAACGCGTTTACAGGTTAAATATCTTCCGAGAAACGTGCGTCACCGACACCAATATGTGACATATATACCACCAATATTGGAATTTACACTTGCTGACAGTCGCAAGATTTGCTCGTCCATGTTTAGAGCAGCATCCAAGTTTTTTGTCACATGGCTTCATAACTAATTATCGAAAGTTATCTATTAACCTGTTTATTCAGGTTTCATCCAAAAATATAATTGACTCGACGAAGGCGTGTGGCTTTTTAAATTAGTGTATCCTTTTACGATATTACAAGAAATGAAATTGCTCAGAATCGAAATTTATGAGGTGTCTATAATGTATAATTGATTTTGGTGGCATCATATAATGTAGTTCTTTCATAAACAGGTTTCAGACAAACATAAGCTGGAAAATCCGAATGCGAGAAAACCAAGGGTATATAATTCAAATTTATTAATCGAGTTGATCCATTTACTCACCAAGAGATAACATAATGCTCGCAATTAAGTACTTAACAATGATCCGTGTTATAAACTAGTTGTTCATCTGTTGATACATTTATTTCAGTGCCCTGTGACATCTTTCGACAAAAATCTGACAACAGCCGACCAGAGTTCAGAAGCCGACGAACCCACTTTTATAGACATTCCGGCCCCCGAAAAAGAAAACTTGGTAAGAGTTCGAATATAACATATCTCCCGGTATAATATATCCGATACCGACCATTTTAAGTGCAAACACCATAGAGCACGTGCGGGTTTAACCCGCACAAAAATAAATCCAATGATTATGACAGATTATGTATTCGATTCGTGTGATCAAAGAGAATGATTACTTATTCGAAGTGAAAGACCCAAGATACTAAAATCTTATATTAAATTTATTGTGCATAGCCTCTTTAAATTACTTTTATGGTTTTTTTTATTAACAGTGCGAGGAACTTGAGGTGGAAGAACCATCTTTTATGGACATTGCAACCCCCGAAAAGGAAGACTTGGTAAGAGTTCTAATATAACATTACATGCCTTTCATTTATCAGCGATCCATGTGAATTATACCTGCAAAAAAGAGAAGGATAATGACAATACATGTATAGTAAGCGCAAACTATTTAACCTATATACGGCACTGTTCCGTGTCCGTAGGCAGCATAATTGAAAAAATAAATCACTTAAGCTTCGCAGTATAACTTGGGATGTATAATTCTATCATATTTTAGTGTCCAACCTGACATCCGACCAGAGTGGTGGGTCGAAAGACGGTCCAAGTTCAGAGGTAAGCAACTTAATATCATACAGTTGTTCTGTGCGCAGAACAGATTACCTGACAAGGACAGCTGTCTAGTCGTTCGGTTGGGACGAAAAATCGAGGTCCCGTGTATACGTTTGCGTACACGTTAAAGATCCCTTGGGTAGGGATCAGTTGGAATTCGATTAGGCCATAGTGCGACTGTACGGGCAAACTTTCACTCATAGCACACTGTATGGCGTATGCCCGTCTTCATCAGCCCAGTCAGAGCAGAACATCATTTCATTTCATTTTGTATCTTTTTGTTTGCAGATCAATATAGAAGTAGAGGACAGGGTAGGGGTGAATTTCTTTAATGATTTCTTGTTTGTCAAAGTGGAAGAATATGGAGTTTTCACAATTCAATTTTTGACGTAGTGCAAAGAAGACGGTTCATGTAAATGGCCCATTTGCGACGCTGTAAAAAAGATTGATGACACCTACATCCTTGGACGGGCGACCGTCAGTGTTCTAAAACGATCTTTTATTGTTGAAAACCATGAAGAATTAAAAGAGAAAAATATAACCTACGTCGAAAACTTTTGTTTAAGTCAATGAGATATTTAGTGAAAAGGTATATTTATAAAAATAAAAAATAAAAAAAGGAGTGAACGAGGACGTTGTAAATAATGTGTAAATAGATGTATAAAAATACAACGAAAGTAGTGAACAAAATGAAATTTACTTTTCTGCACCAACCGGCCTAATAACAACGATCCTACTCCATACAGTGTGCTGTGAGGAAAAATTCCCTGCAGCGGCCCCACGGTCTACTCTTCGACTTCAAACTACATAGGGTTCTTTTATATGCACAAGATTTCGCAAATCAACTTGTAAAAAAAGCCTCACTTTGTACATATAACATGTAAGTGTCTGCAATATCACTTCGGTAGAAGTGGAAACCACGCCGAAAATTCCCGTGGCGCTACATGCACCTTTCTCTCGCACAGAATTCCCTAGAGTGAACAAGGACGTTGTATATTTGTAAACAGATGAGTAAACTGATCACATAAAACACCACAATTATCAGATAAATTCACATTTTATTTATAATAATTAAAAAAAACTATTATGCGTATCATTACGCAATATCATGCGTTAATCAATTTTGATGTTTCAACTAAACATTATGCAGCGTTGAACATTTGCTATTTGTATATTTTAAAGTTTCGATTGTAATTGTAATTTTAGATTTTTTTTTATTTAGTTTCGATTGCATGTTTAGATTTTTTATTTAGTTAAACACACGCATGTTCGACCAATGCTACACCATCTGTTCGCCCAATTAATGTTGAACTACTATTGACACACTTTATACGGATATACTACCTTTGAATTTTATTAACATGCTACGTTTCAATACACATACAAGTATCGTTATCAAGCAAATAATCGTAGTTTTGAACTACTGTATAATGTACATATTCTTGTTATTTATGATATAAATATATATAACCCAACTCGTTGTCTATGTTGTAACTAGGAATGAAGGAAAGAATGAAATGGGGTTTCTGCACCTACTATATTAATGAAGACGGGAATGAAAGAGGGACGCAATAACAAGAATAGGTAGACATACGATGAACCCACCCGCGTTGTTCCGTACGATAAATTAAAATATGTATTTTGTTTAATGCCACCCTGATATCTTCACGATTTTTGTCACCGCAAAGCGTTGTATCAAGGCCTGTCATTTTGCGCGGCCCACATCCTTCGCACACTCTTCACGGTCTTTCCGGGCAAGACTTTAATTATTGACAACGTACATCGTCTAGAAGTGTAATGGGGTATACTATGCACTTGTGTGTGAGTTGCTACTTGCTCTGGTGTACATTAACACTTTACTTGGTGCATATCATGTATGCTTACAGTGTGTCAGATACTTTTTCTAAATACAATTGAGAGAATCTAATTAAAGAGCAAAGATGACTTTTCTTTAAATAGAAATGAACAATACTTTATTAACAAATAACTGAAACAACAAGGGTATATTTGGATAAAAAGGGTCTTTTTTATGTACACACAAATCAATACCTCATCGGGAGAGTTCTACCATTCATTCTCTATGTAATGATTTCACTAAATATTTAATGAGACATAAAGAGTAATACCACTGGATACCACCCTATAACCCCAGATACCCAAATCTCTTTTCATATCCATTATGTATGATATGCAACCATTTATGGGACAAATATGTCAGCAATAAAGGTATGACAGAAACAGTAATTGTGATAAAAAGCCGAGTCAACCCAATAATGTCAAAATGTGGAGTAATAATGAAAAAAGCTCATAATAAATCTTATAATTAATAATAATCAAATTAAAACATTATTAATGGACATACCAATTGTTTGCCTTTTACTTATATGTACAAAAAAAGATGGTTGCCAGACAACGAAACATGCCCACAACAGCTATGTCGTCTGAGTAGTCCACAGAAGTTGTCGCATATTAATTATTTTGTAGGAAATGGGAGCCTTTACAAGAAACTACAAATTACCAAGACCAACAACCAATGAAGTAATTATTAAAATCTGATTGGAAATGAAATGAAATGGGGTTAACGTCCTACTGTTCTGCTCCTAAACTGGGCTAATGAAGACGGGCATACGCCATACAGTGTGCTATGAGGGAAATTTTGCCCGGGCAGCGGCACTATGGCCTACTCTTATATCGAATTCCAACTGCCAAGGGATCTTTTACGTGCATTCCAATGTATACACGGGACCTCGGTTTTTCGTCTCATCCGAAGGACTAGACAGCTGTCCTTGTCAGGCCCTACGTTCTGCACCACTGACAAGGGGAAACCACGTCGGAAAATCTGGATGAACTTTCTCGGCCAATTCAGGGATCGAACACCCGACCTCCAGGCTAGCGAGCCAGCGTCTTAACCACCTAGCCACCGTGTAAAATCTGATTGGCTTCTGTTCTTCCTTATGCGAACATAAATTAAAAGAAATATGAACTGGTTATCAGATGAAAGCTTTAGCTGGTTTTAGTAAATCGTTGCAAATCAATAGACTGCTTCGTCTCATGAACATAAGCACCGTGTATAAATTTCAAATCATTGGATAATAACTTTAGCTACTAAATGGTTCACAGAATTTAAAACTCTGAAAGTAATTATCGACTTCGTGATCTCATGAACATAAATGTCACAGGATGGACGAGGCGTGACCTTTTTGGGAAATAAAGAAATCTAAATACAAAAGAATTCAGTTTATATAATTCAAAATACAATATAACAATTCTTTCTCAAGTGCGCGCACTAGATAAATCATAATCGTCTCCCAAATAAGCCCGACTGCCAGGTTGGTATACTACCTGTATGCACGTGCATTGAATGTAGATAGTTTGGGTGAGCCTTAATATATTACAGGTAAATAGTTTGGGCGAGTCACGCGGCAGAGTTTGGCGACCGATAGTGATACTAATGAAATACGACCGTGACAATAAACACTGTATAAATTTAAAGGCACGGGAAAGACAACTTTATACTCCGCAAGTTGGTCAAAGGCAACAACACTGGAAGTAATTATTGAAATGTTGAAAATCAATATGCTGCCTTGATTAAACTGTTTATCACTTTCAAGTCAATTGGAAAGTTAACTATAGCCTTTAATGTCCACACAATCGTCAGAAATAGTCGAAAATCAACAGGTTTCTTCTTGTGATGAACATCAACATCATGTATAAATTTCAAGTCAATAAGATGATAACTTAGCTTCTGACGGATGACACATTAGGGGTGACGACACTATACAACCACATTTCAATGTGTGCGAAAAAAAACCCCCATAAAATAACAATAATAGATTAATGTAATTTACATAATAATTAAGTCAAAACTTCAATGGGCATAGGTATTTCAGCAAGGGGGGAAAATCCACAAAAATAACAATAGCAATCTTGTTTGTCCACAGTATAATCAAATAAAAACTCCATGGACATATCACTAGTCCATAGTGGAGTAAGGGGGGATCACGATCAGACGGACTCGGCATCTAAACACTAATCCACCAAAAACATACACCAAACCTAGAGTGAGATAGTGGAGTAAGGGGAGGTCACGATAAGACAGGCCTGGCACCTAAACACAAACCCCACAAAGATGACATCTACCGAAATAGCAGGATAGTGGAGTAAGGGGGAGTTACGGTCAGACGAACTCGGCACCTAAACACTATTCCGCAAATAAAACTGATACCAAACCCGGATAGTGGAGTAAGGGGAGGCCACCATAAGATGGCCCTGGCACCTAAACACTAACCCCAAACGATGACATCTACCAATCCAGAAGCAGACGAGATCATCTACCAAACGATATGTTTTATATTAAATAAAGGGAAGAACTTCCCACTAAACCAAATCCATGGCCTAAGGTCAAATGGAAAGATTGCAAAATCATATTCTAAAAAAACAGGAATCAGCTTCGGCTCTCCTATGTCTTGTCTGCGATATCACTTATGTGGAAGCAGCCGTTAAACACCAAGAACTAACTAACTAACCACTAGTCCAATTTTTCAGCAAGGAGAAAGGAATCCTAAAAAATAACAGTATCAATCTTATGTTTTCAACATAATGATCAAATTAAAACTTAATAGACATACCATTTTAGGTTATCATGTATTTTGTATGATTTAAAACCTGTTCCTTTAAGACAACTTATTAGGGAACAAAAAATAGATGTGTTTATTCTGAGGTGACTCCTCAAAAAATTAAGTTTATCTAACTTTTAAACAAAAGTTCACATGTGGCGCCTAAAATATTTATGCCATAGTCATTTTGTTTATATCATCTCTAGCAAGTATACGCCGAAAAATGCATATCATTTTCAGAGAATAGTCGTATTTAATTGGTGGCACTGAACAGAACCGTGTACTTATTTTCATGTCTAACTAATCTCAGTCTCAGAAATAAATGAAATGAAATGGGGTTTAACGTCCTACTGTTCTGCTCCTATGCTGGGCTAATGAAGACGTGAATACGCCATACAGTGTGCTATGAGGGAAATTTTGCCCGGGCAGCGGCACTATCGCCTACTCTTATATCGAATTCCAACTGCCAAGGGATCTTTTACGTGCATTCCAATGTCTACACGGGACCTCGGTTTTTCGTCTCATCCGAAGGACTAGACAGCTGTCCTTTCCTTGTCAGGCCCTCCGTCCTGCATCATTGACAAGGGGGAACCACGTCAGTGATGCAGGACGGAGGGCCTGACAAGAACACTCTCCGACACACAGAACCTCCTAGTCTTCAGTTGTGTTCACACTTATGAAATTTTACTGGATAATCAACAACATAAGCAACTCCCGGTTACGCGTGGACAGTGGAACGTTTTAGCTAATGCCAAGAAAGTGATGAGCCATATTTCATGAATTATTATAAACAATCATATCTATCGGCGAATTGGGATTAACAAGCCAAAGAGTGAGGCTGATGTAACCCGCCGAAATCCCAAAATAAATAGATGACACACATTAATTAATCGCACATTTATTTTTTGTCAAAAGTATCGAGCAATCAAACTATACACTAAGTTTCATCACTCTCTATCAGCTAGAATCAAGATTATCTTGTCACAAAG